TGCATGGTATACCTTCTTCCACTCTTTCTTTTTGTTAACCTATGTCTATATATTATTTATTTATTGGAACGCTTCATGAATTTGTGTGTCATCCTCGTACCAAGGCCATGCTAGTAGTCTTCTCTGTATTATTCTAATTTTAGTATATGTGCTACCGAAGTGAGCACCATGTCTCTATATTTAAATTGGGTTTTTAATTGATATTTTATAGTTGGGTCTTGCTTTTTTATGCAATCTGTCAATCTTTGCCTTTTATTTGGTGGTTTTAGGCTATTTATATTTGATGTGATTATCAACACAGTTGGGTTTAAATATATAATTTGCTCTTCATTTCTATTTGTCTCATCTGTCCTTTGGTTTTTTTCCCCTCTTTTCCTGCCTTCTTGTGGAGTAATTGAGCTTTTCAAGTAAATTCATCTTATCTCCACTCCTGACATATTACATATTAGCCATACCTCTTTGTTTTGTTATTTTTGTTATTTTTTATTTTTATTTTTTGAGACAGAGTCTCACTCTCTCTCCCAGGCTGGAGTGCAGTGGTGTGATCTCGGCTCACCGTAACTCTGCCTCCTGGATTCAAGCGATTCTCATGCCTCAGTCTCCTGAGTAGCTGGAATTACAGGTGCCTGCCACAGTGCCCGGCTAATTTTTTTTGTATTTTTAGTAGACACAGGGTTTTGCCATGTTGGCCAGGTTGGTCTCGAACTCCTGGCCTCATGTGATCCACCCACCTCAGCCTCCTAAGGTGCTGGGATTATAGGCGTGAGCCACCATGCCCAGCCTGTCTTGTTATTTTGTTTTTTTATTATTATTTTTTTGAAACAGAGTCTCACTCTGTTGCCCAGGCTAGAATGCAGTGGCATGATCTCAGCTCACTGCAACCTCCGCCTCCCAGGTTCAAGCGATTCTCCTGCCTCAGCCTCCTGAGTATCGGAAATTACAGGTGCGCACCACCACACCTGGCTAATTTTTGTATTATTAGTAGAGACTGGATTTCACCATGTTGGTCAGGCTGGCCTTGAACTCCTGACCATGTGATCTGCCCACCTCGGCCTCCCAAAGTGCTGGGATTACAGGCGTGAGCCACTGTGCTCTAGGGTTTACAATATGAATCTTTAACTTATCATAATTTACTTTCAAATAATATTATTTCATGTGTAAGAACCTTACAACAGTATACATCTATTTCTTCCCTCCTGGCCTTTGTCCTACTGTTGTCATACATTTTGCCCCTATGTAACTTATAAATTCCCTAATATAGTTGGCCCTCTGTATCTATGGGTTCTGCATCTGTGGATTCAACCAACCACAGATGAAAAAGATTTGGAGAAAAAAATGGATGGATGTGTCTGTGCTGAACACGAACAGACTTTTTTTTCTTGTTATTCCCTAAACAGTCTGAAGATAGCATTTATATTGTATTAGGTATTATAAGTAATCTGGAGATAATTTAATATATACAGGAGGATGTGGGTGGGTGAAATGCAAACACTGCACCATTTTATATAAGTATGTGAGCATCCACAGATTTTGGTGCCTGTGAGGAGTCCTGGAGCCAATACCCCATGGATAGCAAGGGACAACAGTACATTGTTATTACTTTTCCCTTAAGCAAAGGGAAAAGAATAATCTATTTACCCCCACACTTACCATTTCCAGTGCTCTTTACTCTTTTGTGTAGATCCAAATGTATTTTGAGTATCATTTTCCTTCTGCCTCAAGGATTCCTTTAACATTTCTCACACTGCTCATCTGCTGGTGATGAATCCTCTCAGCTTTGGTGTCTGAAAAGGTTTATTCAGTTTTCAGTTTTGAAAGATGTTTTTGCTGGATGTAGAATTCCAGTTGGGCAGTTTTTTCTTTCAGTATTTTACAGATGTGAACACAAACACTTCCCAGGGATATATGAACTCTGAGGATGGTTTTGTCTGTTCTTGCCCAGTGATTCTTCCCCTAGCCTTGGTAGTTTCCTCGCAGGCGTGCACAGAGACTTAATGGGACGCCTCTACAGAGCTTTGGAGATTTCTTGCCGTGTGGTTTCCTCCTCTCTAGTACTCTAGTTTTCAAATTCTAGTCACCTTGGCTTCCCTGATCCCCAAACGCTGTCTCCTCATCTCAGCAAGGCTGCTGGCCTCTGTTTGGGTTCCCTGCCCTGTGCTGGGGCCTGGACATTGTCTCATTTGTTTCATTCCTTTTGGGGATCATTGACCTGCAATGCCTGTTGTCTGAATGGGTATATATCATTTTTTCATATATTTTGTTTGGCCTACTAGTTGTTTACAGGAGAATAGTAAACTAGTCCTTGTTATTCCTTTATCACTAGTTTATCTCCTCAAATAAAATCCCATACTATTAAGACCCATTTTAAATGTTAAAAGTTCCAAGAATTCCTGTATACTTAGTTTTACTTTTTATTTATTCAATTTTTGTACAATTTTGAGTATGTACTTACACTCTTGGGCTCCTGGCAAAAAATCCATTGCCCCTCAGGGGACCATGCCCTATGGGTTAGGAACCACTGGTTTAGGCCAACAGAACCTAAACCATTGGTTTAGGCCAACTCACTCTCTTAATCTCTACACTTGGAGCCTATCCTCATCTTTTCCATGTCCTTGCTGAGACCTCACGTTTTTCCTCTGAAAACTAACACTAGGAGAAACCTTACTCTTTCACCCCCTCCCCACCACCCCACTTTACATTGGCAGAACTCAATAAAGTAACCATCTAAAATGTGTAGACCTGGTTTTAACATTCATACATCAAGTACAACCCAAATAAATCCCAAGATGTTATGTGATCTCGTTATGCCATTGTATCCATTGTATCCCATTCAGAGATATAATGCTCACTCACCCACCAAAAATAATAAAAAAGTAACCCCAATCTTTTTTTTTTTTTTGAGACAGAGTCTTGCTCTATCGCCCAGGCTGGAGTGCAGTGGTCTGATCTTGGCTCACTGCAAGCTCCACCTCCCGGATTCACGCCATTCTCCTGCCTCAGCCTCCCGAGTAGCTGGGACTACAGGCGCTCACCACCACGCCCTGCTAATTTTTTTGTATTTTTAGTAGAGACGGGGTTTCACCAGGTTAGCCAGGATGGTTTCGATCTCCTGACCTTGTGATCCACCTGCCTCGGCCTCCCAAAGTGCTAGGATTACAGGCGTGAGCCACCGCGCCCGGCCAACCCCAATCTTTAATTGGGTCACTCATAATCACTAAAGTGGGTCCAGCTTATAATTCACAATAATGAAATTTTCTTTTATTTTTTCCTCTCCTCTCCCATTCTCTCACATCCAGAAAACCTCTTTAAATTCCAACACACTGTCTCTGACACCCAAACTTCCTTTTCTTTTTGTCTAGATAAATGATTACTAATCTATGGGCCATACACCACTGAGGGATAATGGAACCATGTGTATACCAATAATTGTCTATATACTGAATTACTAAAAAAAGGAAAACTTGTATTGGAATCCTTGAAACTTCTGATATTTAAAATAAATGCAAAATAATATAGAATTAAAAAAAAAAAAAAAAGGCCAAAGAGATAATAGCTAAAACTTGGGAATAATGGAATAAAAGACTCCTATATTCTCCTCTTTTGACTTCTTTTTTTTTTTTTTTTTTTTGAGACAGAGTCTCGCTCTGCTGCCAGGCTGGAGTGCAGTGGCGTGATCTTGGCTCACTGCAACCTCCGTTTCCCGGGTTCAAGCAATTTTCCTGCCTCAGCCTCCCGAGTAGCTGGGACTACAGGCGCTCACCACCACGCCCTGCTAATTTTTTTGTATTTTTAGTAGAGGGTTTCACCATGTTGGCCAGGATGGTCTGAATCTCTTGACCTTGTGATCTGCCTGACTTGGCTTCCCAAAGTGCTGGGATTATAGGGGTAAGCCACCGTGCCCGGCCTTGACTCTTTATTATAGATACATAGATATAGGTACAGATATAGATTTAACTCTTTTGTCTTCTTTTAATTTTTTTTCACTGATGTTTTGCCTGTTTCTAGATTCTCTACAACAGATGTAAAACAGGAACTAACCCAGCAAATTAAAATTCATACCCTTTGGGACTATTAATAATTTTGTCCCCATTATACAAGTATTGAGTTTATATCCATATTCATCTTTCATATGGCAGGAATAGCTCTCTGCACCACCCATGAGTATGGGATCTTTCCCTGCCAGACTCCTTCATTTGCAACACTGGCTTTGGGATGAGCAGCCCTCAGCTCTAGACCTGAGGTTCAGGCTGCCAGGGGCAGAAAAGCAGCAAGTGCCGACGTGGTCCCTAGGGGCAGCTTGGAGGGACTGGAGGATCCCACAGTTGTGAGTCAGAGCCAGCTGGGACCTGCCCCAGGGTTGGGTCAGGAGGTACCACCTGCCCCCGAGTCTTGAGCAGCAGTGGCCTGAGTCTAGGGGAGGCAGCATGCTGAGGCATTGGTATGAGGGCTGGCATCAAGCAGCTAGAAGAGCCTTGGCCATGGAGGTTTCGTATCACCTTATACAAGTCCAGATAATCTCCTAGAGGCATCTTGACTTGCTGTTTGTTTTGGGATTGAGAAGGAAAGGGACATGACAATTCTTTGAGTGGCTGTGAAGGTTCCCCCAGCTTCTCAACCTGTGCCAGGGCTGGGGCTGGACAAAAAGATACCCAGTGCAGTCCAGGCACAACCTGGCCCCCTGCTGTGAACCCTGCCTGGAGCTGCTCTAGTTCCAGCTGCTCTGGTTTTATTTTCTTCCTTGCTGTTTTGCCCATTATCCAGCTTCCTCACAACAAAGGAGAAACAGGAACTGACACAGCAAAAAAGAATTCAAGGAGTTTCCAGCAAAGGTCTGATACCTTGTGGTCCCAGGGTTTCTAACTGAAGGGATTCCCTCTACCTTACCCTCTCCACTCAGCCCTGAGTCCAGCAGGGGCACAGACAGGCAGGCAAAGCCTCCTCCCAACCTAGGGAGGAGATAACTTCCTGTTTCCCTGATGCCTCTCTGCTGGTTCCTCTAGCTCCTGCTGGAGTGGAACGTTCACCTGAACATCCCTGAGGTCACCTCACCAAAGCCGAAGAAATGCAAGTTGCCTGCAGCCTCACCCCGGCACATCCACCCCAGTGGCCCCACCTGTAAGCAGCCCTTTCAGTCCAGGCACCGGGAATGTGCGCCCCTGCAGATGGCCCGGTAGGTGCTGGGAAGCTGAGGGGGCAGCAGCTGTATGGGTGAAGAGGCAGGCAGCAGGAGTGACCAGCCTGGGGAGGTGGGCTGTGAAGTGAGGGCACCAACAGGCCAAGATCACCCTACAAGTTGCAAAGTGCCTGTCTTCTCAGCTGCCCTCCCCAGTGCTGGCCACGGACCCAGAGGTGGGGTGTGTGTCATAGTGTGTGGGCTTCAGGGGCTAGCCTGACCAGTGCATTTCAAACTGTGCAACAGAAAGACTCTGAGGACCACACCTGAAAACTTACAACTTTTCTACCCTGAGCATCGATTTGGCATCTGCCATTGGTCTGTCCTGTAAACAAACCTGAACCTCCCTACCATGTGACCTGCAGGCTCTGGAGACACTGTGAACCTCTGGGCAGCTAAAAGGACCCTGGTCCACACCTACCCTTGCATGGCCTAGATCAGGGCTTCTGCCCAGGGCCTGTTCCTTAAAGGACAAGGGCCACCCTGGGAACCTCTTTCAGCAGCTTCTCCGCCAGAGGAGCCCCAGGGAAGTGAGATTCAGACTCAGTGTTGGAGGGGAGACGAGGAGGACAGTGACACACTCGATTTGAGAAAGGAAGGAGACAAAGCCCACTTGGGCCTGGTGGCTCTGGAGAGTCTCTTGCATCTCAATCTCTCTTTGTTGCTTTTCACATTCTCCAAACCCCCCACTCCCAGCCAACAAGGGAAGCAGATGGAGGCCGTCTGGAAGACCGAGGTGGTCTCCTCCAGTTACGCAATAGAAAAAAAGACCCCTGCCAGCCTTCCCTGGGACCAGCTGAGGGGACACCCAGATATTCCCCGGCTGTTGACACTGGACGTGTAGTCCTCCTACCACAAAAGCCTGAACTTCCTGAAGGCCCAGTAAGGTGCGAGGCTGATGGTCAATGTGGATTCTCCCCAATAAATCTTTCTCCAGGCTTTAACAATGACCTCATTTACTATCCCACACCAGACAGAGAGAGGCTAACCTGGTTCCTCTGCTAGGCGGATGTAAGCAGAGTCCCTGTGCCAACAGCACTTCAATTCTAGTGAAGGGTTTCCTTAGTGTCTCAGAGGCCACCAGGGGGCTTTTCCTTCACACTGGCCTCCTGAGCTGCACATGAATTCTGAAGAGCCCCATCTCACCCTAGCCCTGGGGGTGGTTCTCGGGGGAGCCAGGTGTAGGGAGGGATAGATGAGGGAGTCCCTGGACTGCCTGAGAAACCTGAGCCTTGGGCCTGGGCCTATCTGTCACTTCCTTTCCTTACTACCTTCAAGAACGGTCCCTGGAAAGAACAGCTGGCTGGGGGGACAGAGGCAGGACTCCAGGGGCCAACAAGAGGCTTTTCTGGTTAGAAAAGGCTTAGCTCTCCTTTGCCTCTCTGGGCTTGTAGATGTCACTACTGAAGGCTCAAGGCTCTTTTAAGGACCCTCTCTACATGAGCCATCCCATCTGCCTCCTGTGACCCTGGCCCTGCGTCAGTTACAGATCCCCAATCGGGAGAGGCTCCTGATGCCTCCAGTCTAGACCTAACCAGAGCCAAGAGCCAGAAGATGCTGGTGCTGCCCCCATCCTCCAACTAGAGACCTCAGTGAGATAGGGAGGCATAGCGGCGTCAAAGAGGGCCAGTCCCTGGCCGCACCTGCGCTCTGAAATGGGCCTGAGAGTCCCAGCATTCCAGTCCACCCAGTGCAGAAACCTGGTTTCCAGTTCCTGGAGGGTTTCCAAGGGGGATGTGCATGTGTGTTGCTGTTGGTTGTTGATTTAGATACAGCAAACAGAATGGAGAATAACCAAAACAACACTGTGATAGAACACTGTAACCCATAAGTCAACTGGGGCCTGGCCTGGCAGAGATTCGGTTAAACTTACCCAAAGCCCTCCCCATCGTGGGGGTCTCTCCTCTCCACATCCCTTCCCTGCCTGTGCTCTGCCCAGCTTCTGAGTCTCAGGCCAGCCCCTTTGTTCTTCCCACACATGGAGATATGTGCACATAAGTATCAGAGGTACACACCCCACTTGAGCCCATACACTCATGACGTCAGTAACTTGCTGAAAATACAGAGGGACAGTGAGGAACAGGAATCATGTTGAACAGCACTAAGCAGCAGCCTCCTTTCTTCCCTCTTTCCCCGCCTCTCTCTCTGGTAAAACATGTACAATTCTAAAATTCCTTCATGTCTCAAGCAGAGCTGTTCCACCCACACCCAGGCCTCCACTGGGATCCCAGTTTCAGGCTTAAGGCACTTATCAAAATATTGTTCCCAGCAAAGACAGCTTCCCCTTTCTAAGCAAATTTAGATGAAGACAATTTTCTCCCTGCTTTCAACCCTGTACCTGTTTACTGTGTTGATCTCACCACCAGGTACAGAGGCAGATCCTGCTGTGCTGTCTTCTTTACCCACATCCCAGGCTGCCACCACCTCCCTGCGTGTCAGGCTGCTCCTGATGTCTCAGTGTGGGGGCTCCCTGCATTGTCTTGGGGTCCACTATTTTGGCATGAGGATCTGCTGGTCTCTAACAAAAGTTCTCTGTCCCTGCCCAGGCTGCTGCTACCTCAGGGTGGTGGCTGTGCTGCCTCCTTTGGGAGCGCCCTCCTGGACACTGCTCCACTCCCTGAAGTGCACCTTTTCTTGAGCCGCCTGCTCCTGGCCCACCATGAGTCCTCACATCCACCTGCTGCGCAGTGCCAGGTCACTCGCCTCTTTGTGGTCCTGCTGACCTCGCCAGCTCCCCTGGCCATGCTGTCCAGCTCACAGCCCCATATGGGTTCATAACTAGGCCCAACCTCATGCCCCATTCTCCTGGTCTGCCTGGCACTGACAGCCTGTTTGTCTCCAGGCCCACTGGGGTGTCCTCTCGGCATGTGAGGGAGGGTTGCTCATCTTCCCTCCATGGTTTGAGATGCTAGAAGACTGCATCCCTCAAAACCCAGCAGCCCCCCTTCTCTGAGATTTTTTTCAGCTTTGTCTTACAAGCATGTCCCCGGGGTTCTCTGTCTGACAGGTGGGAGAGCTGTGTGTGTCTGCAGACCCCAAATGCTTTCTGTAGCAGGAGAATCTTAGCCTTGACTCTTGAGTGCTCTGCCCTCCCCTTGCTCAGGGTCTGTTCCTGCACAGCTAAAAACACACTGGTACAGGTCGGGCATGGTGGCTCACGCCTGTAATCCCAGCACTTTGGGAGGCCGAGGTGGGCGGATCATGACTTTGTGTTGAGCAGTTCTGTGTCCAGGCTGAGTCTGGACCCAGCTCTGGACTTGGCTCTGGGAAGTGCTCAGGTGCTGGATGGCACTCACATAGCCTGGGCCTTGTCTCAGTTGCTCCCCAACCTGTAACTCTATTAACTCTTGCAGTGCCTCAGCGAACCAAAGGAAGGAATGCCAGGAACCTACAAATGAATCCGCTTAGCTTGTTCAAAAAAAGTCAAGCGAGTCACTCCCTGGAACCCAAATAAGCCAGAAGGATCAAGACAGCCCCAGTCTCCACTGCATCCCTTAGCTGGTGATTCTCAACCTTCCGAGGGACGGAAACCCACAGAGAACTTGGTTGAAATGCAGGTTCCCAGTTGGTGCTTTTAAAGAAACCCTCTGGGTGTTGCTGAGTTCTCCTAGAACTTTGAGAAACACTGTTTCCCTCCTGCAGTCCCCAAACTCTATGTTTTTAACAAAATAGAGGTTGGTTTATTTTAAAATTCTGTCTCATTGCTGAAACCCACACCTCCTCAACTCAGTTTTAGAACCCTTTGAGTGTTGTCTGTGTACTTTGGGAGCAAACATGCCGAGATAGCTGTGAGTGGCACTTGGCACTTAGTAGGTGTCAGCAACTCTTCATTTAATCAAAATATGGACAGATACATCACTGACATGCCAGTGATTTGCATGAAAGCTCAGAAGGTGAGAACAAAAGGAGATACCAAATACAGACCAGAGCCAGGTGTCATAAGGTGGGAGGCAAAGGTGAGCATGTCTCTGAGTGAGGACAAAGGTGGAAGAAATGGAGACATGAGGTTCAAATATAGATGGTGTGGGCTAAGGAGGCCATCTCTGGCAAGCGTCTGTCAGTTCAGTTGAGACACTAATTCGGTTAGTTCAATCAGCTCATGAGCACCTACGCACCCTCCACCTGACACACAGCTACCTGCCTGGTCCCCACTCAGTCTCCCCCGCCCCATCCTTCTCCACTCACCAGCACCCTTGGCCTAGGGACCACACATACAAATAGGAAATTACCCTATCCTCAGAGAACCCATGTCCAGCGGTTCTCTTCCTCAGGAATGGCGCCCATCCTTGCTTCCAGCCTAAGACTGAGACTCCGGAAAGCTGAGCAGGATGTGGGATGTGAACAGCCGGTTCTGTGGATGATGCCAGGAGTAGGATTTGTTTTCTGAATCACAGCTTAAGATATCGCGAGGATGCCTGGTGTGGGAGGAAGGGGAGTGGTATGATGCAGGTCACATGCACAGCACAGCTGGGCCAGCCCTGGGCTGTTTCCAGCCTCTCGGGTCCCAGGCGCTTTCTTTTCTGGAGGCCTCACCCCAATGATACTTAACATCTTAAAATGCCCTCACACTAAATGTATTGCTCTAAATAATTGGAAAGCATTTTGATAACCTTGCTTTAGAAATTAACTTGCTATGAATAAGTTATTTAATGTGTACTTAGCTGTGAGTGACATCTCAGCAATCAGCATGCACAGAGAAGAAATCGAACAAGTTTTATAAATGTAATGAGACTATTTCGAATATTAAATTTGACAGTGAATGAAACTGAAAATATTATGTTTTATAAAGATTTCATACATATTCATACATTCTTTGTTTTTACATTTTGGCACCCATAATATTTTCAAAGGTTTCATGTTTTCACAGGCTCTTGGCACTGTGCTTAAGGGGCCTGGTGGCTGAACTTGCTGTGGTCATGGAGGACTTTGACCTTCTGCATGTCCTCTAGCGAGCTCTCTGGCGAGCACGCAGAGTGTCTGACATTCTTCTCCTGCTTTGGTAACAATTTCATCTTCTTAAAGGCAAAGAAAGCCTGCACGGGTCAAGCTGTGAAGCCAAGAGGGTTGGAAGACAAATATATATGTGTGTGTATCTTTGTGTATATATGTATGTATACATGTTTGTGTATGTATGTGTGTATGTATTTATGTATGTGTGGGTGTATTTATGTATGTATTTGCACATGTGTATATGTGTGTGCATGTGTATGGGTGTGTATGTATATATGTGTATGTGTGTATAGGTGCGTGTGTGCATGTATAAATATATAAGTGTATAAATGTGTGTATGTGTGTATACATGTATGTGTATGCATGTGTATATATGTGTAGATGTGTATATACGTGTGTGTGTGTGTGTGTGTGTGGTATTTTTCTAGTGATCAGGTTCGTTGCTACTATACAGGAGCCTCATTTTTTTTTTTTCAGAGCAAAGTTGACATTTCTGGTCAATGTATTGCTTCTACTCCAAAAAAATTCAGGGAAGACAAGGCATGGGAAGGAGTATTTCTCTGAGCATTGCTTCAAGCCATATTTGAGGACTGGCCGTAGCTCTGCTTGCATGGCCCACAGCCTCAGATGAGGAACCAAAACAAATGTGGAAGGGGACATGGGAGAAGAGTCTACTGTAGCCTTGACTAACTGCAAAGAGGCATACAGTGGAAGCGAGAAAAACCCTTCAAAAACAACCCAGCCATAGAGCCAGGGAGGGGAAAGCCATGCATGGTCTGAAAAGTCAGAAAACAGATGAATATGACTCTGTGATCAGAGGAGTCATCTTCTCAAGAAAAGAAGATGTGCATGGCTGGGATGCTGTAACTATCAAGTGAGGACTTTGAAGGCAGGACTTTGAAGGTAGCTACATCTAACATGTTACAAGATCTGCCTCTAACAGGTGGGCAACATGCAGGAACAGATGCGGAATTTGAGTAGAGAGTAGAAAATTGTACAAAAGAAATGGAAACTTGAAGATACCAGAAATTAAACCGCTGGGTGCGGTGGCTCATGCCTGTAATCCCAACACTTTTGGGAGGCTGAGGCGGGCGGATCACGAGGTCAAGAGATCGAGACCATCCTGGCCAACATGGTGAAACCCCGTCTCTACTAAAAACACAAAATTTAGCTGGGTATGGTGGTGCATGCCTGTAGTCCCAGCTACTTGGGAGGCTGAGGTAGGAAAATTGCTTGAACCTGGGAGGTGGAGGTTGCAGTAAGCCGAGATTGTGCCACTGCACTCCAGCCTGGTGACACAGTGAGACTCCATCTCAAAAAAAAAAAAGAAATTCTTAACGTCAGAGATATAGAAATCCTTTGGCAGGTTTATCAGCCAACTAGACAAAAGAAAGGCAAAAAAAAAATTTGTGAATTTGAGGCAAGATCAATAGAAATTAGCCAACTATAACACAGACAGAGTAAAAACAAACCAGCAAACCCCAAACCAAACATCCAAGATGTGTGGGATAATACCAATGGTTTCACACACATGTGATCAAAGTCCCAGAAGGAAAAGGGAGAAGAAATATTTAAAGAGCTATTTGAAGAGATAATCACCGAGAATTTCCAAAATTAAAGACAAGAAGCCACAGATCCAAGGAGCTCAGAGAACCGAAGCAGGATAAATACAAAGAAAAACATACTTCAGCATATCATAGTCAAACCTGAAACCAAAGATGAGAGAAGAACTTGAAAGCAGCCAGAAAGAAAAAGTTACCCAGTAGAGTAAGAAATAAAGCAGTCTTCTCAGGCAGTCTTGTGAGTTATGGGTCCACAAGATAACCCAGGAGCCTTCTAAAATATTCCTCCATTTGGGGGTAATTAGCTTAGGCAGGTATCTGTTATCTGCAAAAAACAATTGGCTGGGATGTAATATCCCAGTCCTCCATACCCTGGCCCTGACTCTTTTGTCACACTCCGGCCCTGCTCTCTGCACACCCTGGGGAGGCCCTCCGCTGGTTAGTGACTTCATCAGCCCCTCAAACACTATTTATTGCCTCTGAGCTGGGAGGAAGCTGAGCAGGTGGAGGCTGGATACACTAGTCACCGACCTCAGTGACCCTTGAGGCAGGCCCTGGGGTCTGACTGCTGCCGCACATTCTTTCCCGGGAGCTGAGCAGCCTGGAACGACCAAAGCCTGAGTCCAGCTGGTGCACCAGTCAGGGTGCTGCCACAGAGATGTTCACTGCCACAGGCAGCAGTGCTGTGAGCAGGCAGCTGCCAATGATTCAGGCCGCCACTGGTCAAGAAGATTCAGGTTTCCTCTCTCATCACCCCCAGGCTGTCTGTTAGGTGCCCCGTGTCCTCATTCTCTGGAAGAGAGGAGGAACCTTTCCTGCAGAAGCCACAAGGAGGCAGCAAAGTGCTTGTCTAAGGGCCTCAGCTGGCCTGGAGAGGGGATGGGAATTAGAAGGGAGGGAACTGCATAAAGAGGGACACGAGGGAAGCTGGTGGGGTTCCTGAGAAGGTGCAGGTGGAACGTGGACAGCAAGTGCGGCAGAGGGAGCAGAAGACTTGAGGCATTCCTGACCCATGCTGTGGACACGGGGATCCTGCGGAGGACTCATGGTGGTGGAGTCTGCTCTCCCTTGGCCTGGGGCCCCTTCCTCCATACTTGACCGCCTACCTCCAGCAGGTCCTCTGCTCTGTATGGCAGAGATCTATCCCTGCAAATGACCCTTTGGGCAGTCGTTTTTAGGAGCTCTGCCAGGAGGCCCTTCCCATGGACTTCCTCAAGCATTTAGCATGGCCCCATTGATTCATTTACTTTCATTCATTCATTCAACAAGTACCTATTGGACACCTAACATGAGGCAATGTTCTAGGTGTTAGGGATACTGTAGTGAGTAAAACAAATTTTTAAAAAGTGCTTTCATGGCCGGGCGCGGTGGCTCAAGTCTGTAATCCCAGCACTTTGGGAGGCCGAGGTGGGCGGATCATGAGATCAGGAAATCAAGACCATCCTGGCTAACATGGTGAAACCCCATCTCCACTAAAAATGCAAAAAATTAGCCAGGCGTGATGGCAGGTGCCTGTAGTCCCAGCTAATCAGTAGGCTGAGGCAGGAGAATGACATGAACCCAGGCAGCGGAGGTTGCGTGAGCCAAGATCATGCCACCGCACTCCAGCCTGGGCGACTGAGCGAGACTCCATCTCAAAAAACAAACAAACAAACAAACAAACAAACAAAAACGTGCTTTCACAAAGCCTGTATTCTATGGGGGGAAAAGACAAGAAACAAAAATAAATTAGTAAAATGCACAGTTATGTCAGAGCATAAAAGGTGCCACGGAGAAACACAAATTTCAAGGGGGATAAGGCAGCAGAATGCAGAGGAGTGGGTGTTACCATTTAAAGTAGAGAGGGCACGGCAGGATGTTAGAGTGAAGACCTGAAGCAGGTGAGGAGGTGAGCTGGGGGAAGGGGGTGCTGGGCAGGGAGAGGAGGCTGAGGTGAGAGCCTGCCTGGCACACTCAGGGGACAGCAAGGTGCCCGGGGTAGCTGATGTGGGTGAGTGGGAGGGTGGGAGGAGTCACACTGCAGTGGCCACTGGGAGGCAGATCACACAAGGCCTTGTAGGCCACCGTAAGGACCTCTGTTCACCTGGAATGCAATGGGAGCCATTGCAGAATTCTGAGCAGAGAAGTGACATCATCTGTCCTTCAATTCAAGAGCATCCTCTGGCTGCAACCATGAGCACAGACTGGGAGCAGGGAGCAGGGAGACCAGCTGGAAGCTGTTTCAATTTCTATCCTATTCAGAAAGCCTAGTCATGAAGGCCAGACGTGGTGGCTCATGCCTATAATCCTAGCACTTTAGGAGGCCGCAGTGGGTGGATCACCTGAGGTCGAGTTTGAGACCAGCCTGGTCAACATGGTGAAACTCTGTCTCTACTAAAAAAACACAAAAATTAGTCGGGCATAGTGGCAGGCACCTGTAATCCCAGATGCTCGGGAGGCTGAGACAGGAGAATCGCTTGAACTTGGGAAGCGGAGATTCAAGTGAGCTGAGATCACATCATTGCACTCCAGCCAGAGAGACAAGAGTGAGACTCCGTCTCAAAAGAAAAAAAAAAAAAGCTTAGTCAATGAGCTCAGATGGCCCTTCCACCATGAAGCTTCCACTAATCCTCCCTAAGCCTCCCCTTCTCCTGGGGGCTCTCCTGCCTTTGTGTGTGGATCTCTTCCAGCATTGGTCCATCTTTTTTTTTTTTTTTTTTTTTGAGACAGAGTCTCGCTATAACCCAGGCAGGAGTGCAGCAGTACGATCTTGGCTCACTGCAAGCTCCGCCTCCAGGTTCACGCCATTCTCCTGCCTCAGCCTCCCGAGTAGCTGGGACTACAGGCGCCCGCCACCTCGCCCGACTATCTCTTCCAGCATTGGTCCATCTTGCCTTTGTTCTGGGATTATTGGTGAGCCTGTCCTCAACCCCACTAGACCTGAAACTCTTTAAGAAGGATGCCCAGTTGCTCTCACAGGTGTAGCTTCCCCTCTACCCAGATCCTCGAAGGGCCATGAACACAACAGAAACCAAGTCAAGCTTTCCCTAAGGAGTAAGTGCTCCCACTCCTCCTTGCCTGCCTCTGAGGCTTCTTCCGGGCTGTGTTTCTGCCTGGAGCGCCACAATCGTTGTATTAAATGCTTAGCCACCATGACAGCCCTAGTGCCTTCTGTGAGCTGCATGTCACCATCCCTCAGCACAGCCAGGTTTACAGGACACAGCTTGTCACCGGTCCATAAGGCAGCCTGTCAGCGCTGGCAGGAAGCACACACAAACCAGTGAGTTTGCACAGCCAGTGGCCTCTCTGGAGGCTCCTGGGGGCAATTAAATTAGTAAGTTTTCATTTATTGATTCCTTAAACATTTATTGAGCACCTACTGTGCTGCCATGATCTGTATTAGGCAGCAGGGGCACGGAAGTGAGTAAAACTCATTTCCCAGGAGCCTACTGCAAACACAGGGTGCTGACTGGATGCAAAGCACTGGCACAGTTACAGAAATACATTCAAGTATTGTCCTGAACTCTCAAGGACTCACAATCCACCCACCACTCCTTCAGCAATTGTACTGTGCCAAGTGCTGGAGTTGGCACTGAAAACA